CTTGACTGGCACCGCGCAGCGCCTTAAGGTGCCAGGCAGCGTCTCAGGGTGCCACAAAGCGTCGCAGGGTGCCACGAAGCATCTCAGGGTGCCATGAAGCATCTCAGGGTGACATGAAGTGTCTCAGGGTGTCACACAGCATCTCAGGGTGCCATGCAGCATCGCAGGGTGCCATGCAGCATCTCTGCCACCAACTCAGCAGGCGGTCCCACTGCAAACCTCTGCAGCCTCACCCCAACGCCAGCATTGCCTTCCTCAGCTCATGTGCGAGGGCAGGTGACACTGGCTCCCAAAACACTTCGGACGCACCTCTGGGGACGCCAAGTCTCGAGGCCGGGATGCAGCACCGCGAGGCACAAGTAGGAGCGGCCCAGGGCTGGCCGAGTTGCGCCAGGGTCTGGAGAGCAGCAGGGGGGACCCCACTGGGCAAGCAGGTGGCCCTCGGGGACACTGTGTACCCAGAGGAGAGGCAGGGTCCTCCCGCGCTTTGACAGCAGCTCCTGCTGCTGCTTTTTCCCACAGGACATGGTGGCAGGGAGCTCTGGGCACTTCCTGACCTGCCCGTTCTGTGTGCGGCCAGGAGAGGCTGCTGGCCCTGGGCTCCTCCAAAACTTCGTCCTCCTCCTCCTGCCGGGAGCGATCTCCTCCGGCAGGACCATGAGATGGAGAAGTCACTGACCAAGACCCGGAGAGTTTTCGGTGCCCTTCCTTTCCCATCATTCCCATCCTGCTCATCCCTAGCAAATGCCAGTTCGCAACGGTCACGGATAACTGGAGGTGCTTGATCTCTGCAGCCCAGCGAGGAGGCGGCGCGGCGTGAGGCAGGAGCAGAGCACAGGGGAGCCCTCGCGAAGGCCCCGTGAGGGTGCAAGGAGACCTGCAGCACCCGTGGCCATGAGCAGAGCGGCTCCTCTTGGGAACAGGCGCAGGTGGGCGCATCGGCCGCAGCCGCGCAGAGGTGCCGCAGGTGCCCTGGGCTTTGAGGAGTTGCTGGGTTCCCTCTGGTCCCCTCTCCGGCTCTGGCTGCTGGGCTGGAGTAGCGGGCCCGGCCCTGCTCTTCCTGCTCGTGCTTCCTCCGAGCTGGGTCACCGCGATCACTGCACTCTGCAGTGAGGACAAATCCCTGCACGGGGATCCCAAGCACCTCTCTAACCAGCTAGAACCCCTAAGTGGGTTTTAATGCAACTGAGAGCTCAGAATTTGTTCAAAAAACCCAGGCAAAGAGAGATCTGATCTGTTTATACTCCCAGGCTCGGTCAGTGCTAGCGGGGAGAGGCCCTGGCTACGCGGGCTGCTGCCAGCAGCTCCAATGGTGCAGAGTGGCCTGGGCGCTCCGGGGTGATGCTGGAGCCGTGCGGCAGGGCCTGCGCGCTGCATTTGCGGCATGAACGGGTGACAGTTTGGGGATAACAGTAGCAATATCTGGTGAGCCGACGAAGAGGATGAAGAGCATGGGCACTTGTTGGTAATTAGGTAATTGGTTGGTAATTAGAGCAATCAAGTCGGGCTCCATGCCTGAGTGCTCGGAGTCCCTGAGCAGGGGCACCCACCCACCACCTTCGCTGCCACCCCCGGCGCCGCTGCCACCGCAGGTCCCTGCAAGTTGCTGCTCGGCGTCCCCAGTGCTGCTCGTGGCGGGTGCAGGACAGGGACCTTCCTACTGCCCTCAAGGGCCGCCTCAGGGCCAAGGAGGACTGTGAGGGCTCTGCTCTGGGGCAACATTGGCTGCCCAACAGCCCGTCCCACATTGGGTTTCCGGGTGGAAACCAGGTCCCCCAGCCTCAAAGGGAGGCAGAAGCTGCAGGCATCATCCCAGCAGTCCCACTCATCCCAGCGATGCCCGGGCACTCTCCAGAGGGGACGGATCTGTGGATCTACCGCCCCAGCTCTGCAGCTCCATGCCTGCGCACCGGGCACTGCATGGGCTGGGCACCAGCCCCGTGTTTGCACAGGGCTGGGTGGTCGCCAGGCGCGGGGCCGCGCGGGCAGCAGGGACGCAG